GCTTCTCGTCTGCACTGACATCTGGTCCCCAGGTGGCCCTGGGCCCACGTAAGGTAACGCGTCAAGCGCCAGGATGGTGCAGGTGCCGTGCTTCAGCACAGATTATCCCTCTGTGATTTCCCCTCCCGCGCCGTTTTAAGTGAGTTCGAGTGTTTCAGCTTGAATTACTTTACCAGGTATGCACCACCACCCCAAACAAAAGAGGCTCTGTTCAAGTCTGAGCCCCTAGAAACAAAGATTTGACTGTCTCCCGCCTGCCGCGTGGCTTGAACGCCCGAGTTCTGCCACCAACACGGCCAGGAATGACAGCTGCAAGGCACGGTTTTCCCAAATAATCAAAAGGAAGGGCAGCGATGGGCCATCTGGGAGCCTGTCTCAGGGCGAGGACAAAGTGCTTCCCCATGTGCAGGGCCAAAGGTAACCACGGGCCATGGAGGGTGACCTGCATCCACCACAGGCCACCTCACTTGGGACAGTGTGGGTGTGATCCCGAACCTCGTCAGCCCTTCCTTTGGGAAGATGCTCCTGTCTTCCCATGCGGTTCCATTGGCATCCCAGCTGGATGACACTCCAAGCTTCTGGGAAGGCATGGTCGTCTGGACTCACAAGGATGTGCACATTTCAGCTATAGTCATCACAGATGATAGGCTGAAACCTCAGCTCCACAGGTGATGGCGATGACGGCTGACCCGCTGACCCCAGTGACGTGTCCGGGACCCACCTCAGTGTTGTCCTGCATGGTCTCGCCTTGATCCCCTGGGTGGGGACTGATGTGGCCCATGTACAAAGCATGAAAGCTTAAGGTTAGTCATGTGACGGAGGGACAAGTCAGAATCTACCCGTTGAGAGGGCCAAGTGCACTAGTTCCATCATCTGTGGGTGCCAGCGTGGCCGCAGGTATGGATGGGCCTGCTGTCCTCCAGGGCATAGCCACTGGGATCCAAGTGTTGCCCAATTAGGCTGATGGCAGAGGACAGTCAACATAGACTGCACATGCCAAAAAACACACCGATCGGGTTTCACCCAATCATTGCCAAGCTGCGCCTGCAGAGAGCATGATTCATCCTCTGGTGGCCGGGCTCCAGGGCTCACGACGCCAGTTGGAGGCACAAGAGCCATGCTGTGGGAATGGCAGCCTTGGGTACATGGGGGGGTGGCTCCTCTGTCAAGGGCTCACAAGGGTTTTCTGTAGAGGCCCCGTGGATGGCGGGTCCCCAAGGCTCACAGGACACGTCTACCAGCTCAGACGTGTCCCTGTGCCATGCAGTCCTATGCCCAGGCCTCCTGGCGCCTAGTCTCACCACTGACTCACACTTCCTTTGTTGTTGGTGGCTCGTGGCCCTTAGATTTCCAAACAAAACTACCTTCTGCCCCCTCATCCCCTCCACAGCTATCCATCTCACTTTCCACCCCCATCCCTGTCTATGGGCACGGAACTCCTAGTCCCTTCCAAAGCCGCCCATCCCATCTGTAGGCGTGGGACCCCCGGTGCCATCTGCGGCCACCTGTCCTATCTGTGGGCTTAGGACCCCCAGCCCCTTCCATGGCTGCCTGTCCTGTCTGTTGGCATGGGACTTCCAGCCCCTCTGTGACTGCCCGTTCCATCTTCTACAGGCATGGATCCCCCAGGCTCAGGGCTTCCTCAACAGGCCCTGAACACCATGGTCTTTTGTTCACACCTGCCTGGATCCCGGCATCCGTTCCTTAATCTGTTCCTCCCTCATCTCCAATTTCTGCAGCAAAATCTTCCCCATCCAAGCCTGTCTTTTGTTTTAGAACACAGGGTCCTAGGCCACAGGCAGTGTGAGAGGCAGTGAAGACATCTGCATGTCTCATACCAGGCCAGCATTTTAGGGCAAGTATGTCTCCAGTTCTCCTTTAATTGGAGCCCTGCTTCTAACAGCTGGGAGGTCTCCTGGGAGCAACTGCTCCTACCAGAACATTCAACAGTCCCTGTATACTCAGAGGGGCCACATCCCCAGTGTGTGAAAGTTCACCACTGTGCTTCTGTGGCATCAGGTTTAACATTCAGAGAGAGCGGTCAGAACACAACCCCCTGACTTCTGGCTGGAAGAGCAAGTGCAGTGAAAGGATTTGAATGGAAGCACCTCGCTGGTGGCTGTGAAGCTTCTGGACAGGACAGTGGGCAGCACGAGCTGCTGCAGGTGAGACTGGTGCACTTGACCACACCACACTTGGCAGCTGTGGTTCCCGGAGCTCACACCCCCTTTGGCCAGCAGGAATGTGATCACAAGCCATGGCATGGGCTGGCAGTGCCAGAATGATCTACTTTATTGGAAACCAGGTGGGACTCCTGAGCTAGGCAGGGGCCTGGGCTGACACTTGGGCGTGAGGGGGCCCTAGCCTGAGCCCCTCGAGCTGTGAAGGCACCTCCTTTGCCCGTATGAAGGGAGCACCAATACCCGCCTCGCACAGTGTGGCACGTGGAGCATGGAGGACCACGTGTGAACACCTGCGTGCACATCTGCCTTTTGGGTTCTCAGGGGATGGGTGTTTGCCCACGGTGGGGGACAGATACGAGAACCTCTGCTTGGGAACTCCTGCATGACCAGGCCCTGACACGTAAGGGTACCCAGGGACTAACCTATCCTGGGCCCCACAGACCCTCGGCCAAGGGCATGAGCCCCCAAGCCTCAGCCTCAGCCCCGTCAGCCCCCATGGTCCCACCGCAGCAACAGGCTGACTCGAAAGGCAGATGCGCTTCCTCCTGACGGCGGAGGTGATTCAGCACAGCAGGGACATCACACGGACACAGATGCGGTTCTGGTTTCCATTTGCTCATTTATTTATCGTGAGAACCACATGCTGACAGCCCCGTGCTTTGGGCACCAAGTCAACGAAGGGTCTGGCCTGCGGTAGCCTGGAGGCTCAGTTAGGGGGGCTCATGGGCTAGAGGTGCAGGGTCAGTTCTTAGCCCCTGGGGCCAGGCAGGGTTGGGCGGGGAGGAAAAGGAGCTCCCGGGATGGGTGGGGCCTGGCGGAGGTCTCAGGGGTCCAGGGGCGCTGGAGGCCCATGTCCAGGAGAGGAGAGGTGAGGGAGGCTGAAGGGAGGCTGCACCTGAGGCATGGGATGGCCCGTGCTGAAGAAGAGCCGTGCTGGCGGGTGTGGTCGGAGTGTGGAGCTGGGCATCAGGCAGAGGGCTGGATCCAGGCTGGAGGGCCACGATGGGCAGGAGGAGGGAGGGTGCTGGGCCCGAGCAAGGCGGGGGGACAGGGGGTGGTTGGGCGGCTGGCAGGGGGCAGGGGCCGCAGCAGCTCAGACCCGCCGATGTCATGATTGTGGTCACAGGTCGTGAAGCCTCAGCCGCCATGTGGAAAGGGTGCGCAGTCCACGCACAGCTGCTTCTGCCTGACATGGGGCGACCTGCGCCAAACCCAGCACTAGGCAAACTTGCGGCAGCTCGGCCGTGTGCCAGGTGAACAGAGAAGATTAATGCTGGCGCTGTTTCTACCCCTGCTTGGGAAAGCGATTTTTCTTTATAAGGCCTGGGTTTTCTTTAAAACATTCAATTTGTGGTCAACCATGCTTGAAGTTTAATTAGGACACAATCATTACACTTTCAAAATAGGACTAAATATTTTCTTTTGTAAGATATATTGTCCCTTCCTCCAGGAAGGGATACGATTCATGGAGTATGGGCAAGACAGATGACATTCATCCACAAAAGGCCACAGGACATGGGGAAGCGTCCCTACACCAGGTGTTGGGCCACTCCCATCCTTCCCACAGCTCTGCCCATGGACATTCTCATGCCATGGTAGATGCCATGACAACACCATGAGGCTCTGTTCATGGATGCTGTCATGCCACAACAATGCCATGAGGCGAGGCTCTGTCCACGGATGCTCTCATGCTACAGCAGCACCACAAGGCTCTACCCACAATGCTCTCTTGCCACGACAATGCCACAGCAATGTCCTCCCACTCAAGTCCTGAAAGGCATCCCCTGGATCTGCCTGATGAGACAGGGAGCCCTGGCAGTATCACACCAACGCAGATGTCCTAGGCCTTTCTCATGATCCAGTCTATTGAAAACGCCACTTACACATAGAGAAAACGGAAAACTTCAACAGCCTTGATTTGACTAAGGTAGCAATGCAGCTGCCTCTGCAATTAGTTTTCAGTATATAACTTCCCTCTTAAACTATATGAATCTCTTCAGCCTTTAGAGAAGAAGCAACAATATAAAAAAGGCTGCTGACATCGCTGAGCTTACCCAAAATACAATACAGTTCAGGACGACAGCTAATTCTGTCCTCTGAACGTACATCCTGCCGCCTGGGGGAGGCCTGCGCCCACACAGGAAGCCGGGGCGCCGGGAGACACCTTTCTTTTCTACTGGTCTAGGGAGTGGAAAAACAAACTTCACCTGATGGGTTTTTTTCTTTAAGAAAACACCCAAAACAGTTGAAAAGGTAAGCTGATTTTTGTGTGTGTTCGAAAAGGAGCCATCCTCAAGAAGGGGACATCAGGCTGAGCAAAAGGGATGCAGGCTCAAGCTGGTGGCTCAGGGATATTGTTCCCTGGAGAAACATCACATGAAATATCCTAACGGCCACACCAGGCATCGGCCTTCAGAAGTAAACGCCAGGGTTCGTTTCTAAAGACCCCTGCAAAGTCACTGTAACTACCTGCCCTTTTCACCTCAACCATCCACAGGATTGCAGTCCACACCAAGGCCACCCCGGCTCTTGTGAGCAGAAGAGCTGACCTCACTAAGGCTGCTGAATGACCAGCGATTAGCCAAACACGCACCACTCTCTCCCCACAGCAATCAAGGAAAAGACACCTAAAACCCCACTTTTCTTTCATTCTTGTGAGGGCACTGGGGAATCAGTCTTACTGGCGGGCCGTCACAGCTTAAGTGCATGCCCCAACACATGGCCCCACAGCGACGCCGTCTCCCTGTCCCCATGTCCTTTAGAGAAAGCACCCCACGCACTGGTGTTCGGGGCGTAAGGCCAGAAAGACAGCATTACCATTGGCAGGAAGGTACGTGAAGTGCTGGTACTGGCTCCTTTTTCTCTTCCCGTTGCAGACGTAGAAGCTGACTTGCACGGGGCTGGTTATCCTCTGATTGCGGAATGGCGGTATCTCCACCACCAAGGAGTTCTAGGAGGAAACAGCAGACAGGAGAGAGATGTCAGTTTCCCATAGGTGAGAATGCCAGGCCTGGAAGCAGTTCTTGCTGGCCAGCAGCGTGGCAGGCTTCCCATAACAGAAACCACCAGGCTGTCTAGAAGCAGCCACCAAGGCTCAGGCAGCGGCTCCATGCCTGACACCTGCACACACATGTGGGCCTGGTCCTGCCGTGCACTCCCAGAAAAAAAGCTGCCCTTGGCATCTAGAATCTCAGAGACATTCTCAGGGCAGTTGAGCCAACTCTTTTCCCACAATGACAAGATTTCGAAATCAAGACTGGGTATTTGGGCTGGGTGTGGTGGCTCATGCCTGTAATCCTAGCACTTCGGGAGGCTGAGGTAGGAGGACTGCTTGAGCCCAGGAGTTCGAGACCAGCCTGGCAACATAGTGAGAGCTTGTCTCTATAAAAAAATCAAAAAAATTAGCCAGGTATGGTGGTGGTGCTTGTAACCCCAAGCTACTCAAGAGGCTGAGGCAGGAGGATCACCTAAGTCCAGGAGGTTGAGATTGTAGTGAGCCAAGATCACACCACTGCACTCTAGCCTGGGCAACAGAGCAAGAACCTGTCTCTAAAAAAAAAAAAAAAAAAAAGACTGTATAGTCAACATCAAGACTGAAGTTTTACCAATTGTGGGAAGAGAGACCAGGAAAAGAGGAACATTGTGCATATGGGAGGTGACTGCCTGGTGCCAAGGCTGCCTGTAGCCACTGGTGGAGTAGTCTTCAGCTGCCCTCATACCAAAGGCTCAGGGACCTCTACCCCCAATGGGTGGATGGTACTCTGGGGCACAGTCCCTGCTCAGGTCATGGGAGGGGAAGGGCTTCCTAGGCACGCCGTCTCGGGGGCCAGGCTGTTTCTGTCACTTTTGACAACGGTCAGCATCCTCACTCAAACCCCAAATTCACTGCCACTGAGGAAGATGAAGACCCCGAGCCTGCAGACCCAGGCGGGAACATTTGGGAACACTGAGGCACAGAGAAGATGGAATGGGCTGTGGCAGCAGCTGTTCCTTTTCATGCTTTTAAAACAAAAACCGGCAGCATTGTTATATAAGTCACGCTCTTTCAAGCGCAGACACAAGAAACAGGCCACGCAGGTAAGACGGCCCTGCTCAGGGCAGTCGTGGGTTGGGTTTGGGACCCACGCACAGGCGAGCTCCCTGGGCCACACGGACACAGGGTCCCAAGTAAATCCTAAGGAACAGGACACAGGCAGCTCTCTGCGGAGGGGTCCACTTCATATCTGGGGGTAAAAGCTGGCTTCCACAAGGTTTCTTTAATTTATTTTTTAAAATCATATGATTTATTTTAACAAGCAGGGAAAGTATATATGAAAAATCCATTGTATGACTTCTTTTGTAAAGTAATTAATTGTAGCTTGCTACCCAATTTAATAGCAAAATTGATTGAATCACAATAACAATATCTCAGAGTGTTAAAAACAGAAAACTGAAGAGGATTTCAGACCCAGCTTCCTCCATTTAAAGATGATGTTTCAGAGGCACAGAAGCCACAGGCTGAGGTCCAGGCACCTGACTGGGGTGGGACCCCACCTGTGACCCATTCCAGGCACCATGCCCCGGGGACTATGCTTGCTCCAGGCAGCCTACTTCTATTGTTTTATTAACTTGATTTAATTCAGAAGAAGTCACAGGCACACAGGCATCTCCTGCCCTAACTCTTTTTCCTCTTGCCAAAAATACTCCAGGAAAGCTGGGTGTGGTGGCTCACACCTGTAATCCCAGAGTTTTGGGAGGCTAAGGCAGGAGAATCATTTGAGGCCAGGAGTTTGAGACCAGCCTGGGCAACACAGTGAGACCCCCCCCTTCACTACAAAAAGTTTTTTAAAAAAAGCTGGGTGTGGTGACACCAGGTGGGAGGATCACTTGAGCTCATAAGTTGGAGGCTGTAGCAAGCTATGCAAGCATTCCAATCTGGGTGACAGTGAGACCCTGCCTCAAAAATAAATAAATAAATAATAAAAATATAAAAATAAAATAAAAACATTCTGGGAGAGCAAGGGTCACGACGGGATAGTGGCTATGCTTGATCAAATGCATGGCCACAAGGGCTGCCTCACTGCAAAGCATTTCTGGGCTTCCCCTGCTAGGCCAACTTGGAGGTTTGGGCTGTCCTGAGTCCTGGTCTACTCACTCACACAGGGATAAGAGAAGAGATGCCTTCTCCGGCTGTTTCAGAGGGTTCAGTGACACAGAAGGAGATACCGCAGGTCTGGCTGTTGCTTGATGGTGTCCTCCACTGAGGCAAGGTCAGAGAAGTATGTGTGTGTGTGTGTGTATGTGTGTGTGTTTGGTTTTTTTGAGTCAGAGTCTCACTCTGTTGCCCCGGATAGAGTGCAATGGTATGATCTTGGCTACTGCAGCCTCAATCTGTTGGGCTCAGGTAATCCTCCTGCCTCAGCCTTCCAAGTAGCTGGAACCACAGGCAGGCATGGGTTCAGGACCCACACCCCAACCATGCACATGCCTGGCTAATTTTTTTGATTTATTGTAGAGACAAGGTCCCACCAAGTTTCCCAGGCTGGTCTTAAGTCCCTGGGCTCAGGTAATCCTCTTTCCTCTGCCTCTCAAAGTGCTGGGATTACAGGTGTGAGCCACTGTGTCCGGCAGCAGTGTGATCTTGACAGAAAACACTGAGAGAAGAGCTGTGAAGGGAATGACCTCCTGAGGCTGAGGGTGAACCAAAAGGAGCCATGAGGCCCTGACACAGCGGTCAGGTCAGGGCAAGGGGTGGAGGACAGCCCTGGCAGCAGGCACAACTCTGGAGTTGTTGTTTTGTCATTTTGATGTGATGGGAAGGTTGGTTTAGACGTGGGAACAGGCTGATCCACTTCAACTCTAAACAGGTTATATGACCAGAATGTGACCTCCATGGGGGCATGACTGTGTGAATACACCAAGGAGGGAGAAAAGGAAACGTAGCAAAAGACAGTGCCAGGGACTCTTGTTGACGGAGGAGAAGGGCGACAGCCACAAACAACAGCAGCACAGCCACAACTTGCCGTAGAAAGCCCACTGTCACACCAGGTTCACAGATCCACCCAACTACAGAAAATACGCAAACCAAACACACAGCACAATCCCACTCTGCACTTACAATGGCTGAGGCTCACGTCAAATGTGCATGCACACATGTGCATGTGTCTCTGTGTGACTGTCTACACACACACACACAATGGAAAACATGCGGCAGGAAGTAGGCTGAATGCTGATAGTGGTTCTATCTAAGAAGTGAGAGTATATTAGGTTTTATTTCCTTTTTTCACACTTTTTTATGTTTTCCAAATTTCCACGATGACTGTAAAGTTCCCTTATGATTAGAAAAGATAACCTATGAAAGTAAGTTTCACTTAAGAGATAAGAATGAAACAGCAAACTTCAAGTGTATAATTTTTCACAGGTACATGAAGTTTCTTTTAAAACATACAACGGTTAACCGCTAAGCTTCCTTTAAAATATGCCGTTGTTGAACGTAAAAAAGAAAATGTCAGAGAAGTAAATGTGTCACCTCGACTGGGACTATTTTCAACACAGAAAGGCTCCCAGGGCTAGGCGGGAAGGGGTCTAGGCAGTCCAGTTCTCAGGGACAGCATCCCACATCCCTCATGCACACCAGGTACACCTGGGAGAGAGCTAGGGAAAGGTAGGCGGGATGGGGCTGAGGCGAGGGGGCGTGGATGCGAGTGAGACCTGTATAGGTCAGCCCAAAGGAGTGAGAACCCACAGACCCACCCCAGCCGGGGGAAGGACTGACACACCCACGACTTCATGGCAATGACTTCCTCATGCCTTGTGCCGCCGAGCCTTAGCAGCTGCAGACACCCTGGCTACAGGGAGCCACAGACCCTCATGGACACGCAGGAATGATCTGCAAGGAAGAGAGGCTGGCTGGCCCAGTTGCTGGCACTGCCCGTGGCCAGTGTTCTTGGGATGCTTCTGATCTGCCCTAACCCGTGGACACTGACGCTAATGGGCCTCCTACCAAGACTTCTTCATCTGGACCTGCCTGCCCGAGGCCTCCAGCCTCCCTTGGGAGCTTCTCAGGTGAAGGCAAGAAAAGGCCAGGATCCGAAAGGAGCCCAAGGGTGAGCTGCATGCTGGGAGGCCTGGGCACGACCCAGGATGAGTCACCTTGTGAATACAGGCCCCCAGGCCAGGGTGAAATCTGTCCCACCTGACCATCACTGGAGAGGCTTCTGGAAAAGGACTGGCACTCAGAGAGGTTTCAGTAGCGAGGAGGAGGCTGCCTCTGGGGGTGGGGCAGAGCCTGTGGCCAACATGCACAAAAGGCAGGTGCCTGAGCTAAGTGGGAAGCTGGCACCTCCCTCCCTCCACAGGAGCCGTTCTCCCACCAAGACAAGAACCCTTGACAGCCTCACAGGCTGGCCACTTGCATGTCCCCATTCACCTGCCTCTGCTGTCCAGGATGGGAAGGAGGCCGGAGAGGAGAAATGATGCCCTCCACCCAGCGCTGCTTCGCCCGTACACGCTAGGTGCATGTTCCAGACTGCCCCATCCCTGTCTGTGGGAAGGAGCTGACACTTTGTCAGGGGTTGAGGACTGGGCTGTGGAGTGGGCAGGGCTGCGGTGTCTCTAAAGCCCTTGCTGGCCATGTGACATTTATGTTGACATCCCACCAGAGCAATAGTAACTTTGAACACCGGTGGTTTAAAAACATCTATCTCAAGGCAGAGACCGTCAGAGCAGATCAAAAACAGGACTCAAGTATAGGTCGTCTCCAAGAAACCACCTTAAATACAAACACGCAGATCAAAAGCAGGGATGAAGGAAGGAGCGCAGGGTGGCATGAGACAGCAGAGCATGGGACAGCCACGGAGATCAGATAAGATGGTCTCCACAGTCAGCCAACCTAAGAAAAAGGTACAAGCATGGGTGCCCCACGTGCGGTGACATCCAAGGAGCCACGACGGCAGAGCGGTGTTGGACACGCAACCTGGTGATGCAGTGGCAGCAGCCTAGCCATGAGCTGGCCACGACCCTGCTGTGCAAGCCCACCACTCATGTCTCCATGGAAGAAGCAACTGAGCTGTCACCAGGTACTCCCTCATATCTGTGTCATGAACAGGAGCCAGTGAGCAACGGGTGCTCCTAGGAGGATGGGGAGGGAGTCACTGTGGGGACGCTGGCAGAGGCCTGCACATGGTGTGAGCAGCATGTCCAGGCAGGCACCAGCCGCCCCTGTAGGAGACTGTGGATGTCACCAGCTCCTGAACCCTGCTACACGCTGGGCAACAGATACAGCAGGAGGGAAGCAAGGGGCATGGGAGTCCATGCCAGACGCCCTTCTTCAGGATGCCCCAAGGCCTGGCATATGACTCAGCACCGTGACAGCTCTTTGGCCTTTGAACAAGCACATCCTGCGTGAAGAGGCCTCCATCCTGCCCAGGGTCCTACCTTTCCTCCCTGCTTCAGCCTGGCACTCCATGTCATGCTACATCACTGCAGCACCTGCTACTGCAAGTACCTTGCAACTTCAGCCTGTCTGTTTTATAGACAGGGTCTTGCTCCGTCGCCCAGGCCGGAGTGCAGTGACACAATCAAGACTCCCCGCAGCCTCAACCTCCTGGGTTCAGGAGATCCTACTGTCTCAATCTCTCAAGTAGCCAGGACTACAGGTGTGTGCCACCACACGCAGCTAATTTTAAAAAATATTTTGTAAAGACAAGATCTCACTATGTTGCCCAGGCTGGTCTTGAACTCCCTGGGCTCAGGCAATCCTCCCTCCTCAGCTCCCAATAGCTGAGACAACAGCGTGAGCCACCACGCCTAGCCACAATTAAGTTTTATCCCTTATTTGTCCCGTTATTCCCTCTATTATTTTTATCAGTTGTTTCATTTCAACAAGCAGAAGCCCAGCCCCCCAAGACTCCTCGAGACTCCTCCTGCCGGGCGGAGGATACTCACTGGCTTGCACAGGTCTCGGTCGGTCTTTGCCTCCATCTCCCAGACGTGATGGCCATCTGTAAGAAAGGGCAAAGAAGGTTGATTACTTTGTGTGGCGGGACCCCCCGCACCCAGGATCCCCTACCGGGACACAGAACTCCGGAGCCAGGGGATCTCACTGCAGGGGACCCACCCCCGGCCACAGTCAAGGGCTGTGCTCAGGGACCCAGGGACAACATGCCCTGACCTGACACTGGATTTCAGGCCAAAGGTGAGCGGAGTGTGTGCCTAGGGAACCAAGGACACCCTGCCAGGGGCTGTTCCGGCCCAGGGCCGGGCAGGAAGGAGCAACACATCAGTGGTCATTCCTAGACATCCACACTGGACCAATGTGCACAGTATCACACCAGCCTCAATTCAGGTCACAGGAAGGTCCGCGTACCTCCCACCCTCCCAGGGAGGTGGCCACAAGGAAACACGCAGGGGGCCTAGCCGCCAAGTCCTGGCGCTGGGTCTAGTTCTGCCCCATGCCTCGTTCCTGTCTCAGCCTTGGGATGTGTGGATCACATTTGGGGTGGCCCCCAGTGAGGCACGGGTGCCATGTATATTGCACATTTTGGGAGGGAGTGGCCACCCAGGCCCCTGCAGAGGAACCATGGGGGAAGAAGGCCTTTCTCTGAAGCCTCCTGCACATCAGGACATAGAAATGCAAAACAAAAAGTATTTTTAACATCACCCGATGGCTGTTTGCATGTTTCAAAAAATAAAAAGGCTCCCAGAGGTGCAGAGAAAGGACGCATTGTTCCCTCACCCCACGCCTGGCAGAGGTGTGGCCTGGCCCAGTTGGGAGGTCTGGCCCAGCTGGGAGTCCTCTCAGATGGGACGGTCAGGGTGGTCATTCTGAATTAACAGAGGCCAGCCTCCTGCTGGTCTCTTGTCCTCTCTTTTATCTTCTGCATAATAAAGTCTGCTTCCAAAATGAAATGACTACAGGTATTTATACTTAGTCTTTACTTATGCTCTGTCTTCAAGGGAGAAAATGTCTGTTTCAAATCCTAAATTATTGATACATTAAGCAAAATCTCCTTTTTCTCTCTCACAGTGCTGGGCTGGGCAGTGGGTGGAGAGGGGAGGAGATGAAGGGAGGGGGAAGAAGTGTGAGTCACATGGAGGTGTGAGGGCCGCCAGGCCATGCCCTGGCCATGCCAGCCCCAGATTCAGGTCCTAGGTCCGAGTGCCAATTCCCCACCAGATGAACCCACTCAATGATAAAACCTGAACCGACCTGAGGGAGAGCACCCATTCTTCCTCCAGGAAAGCAATACCAGGAAACTGAAAACATTCAGCTTTCCTCAGAGGCAGCTCAGGAGCCCTGGAGGGGGCCACGTCTGGCCTCACATGCTACAATGGGCTCCTGCCTGGCCCCGTTCACTACTACTTCATTTATAAAAACCAGAACTGTTCTTTATTCAACCAAGTCCTTGTGTTCTTGGTCCCTTTTAAAAACAACTTTCAAAGATTTCTTATGACAAAGGCATCCTTGCCCCAGCCCCACCTGGAGCCTGGGGTCCAGTGTCCACACTGCAGCACAGTTGCTGTGGTCAGCCTGAGCCTGCTGGGAAGCCTCACTGAGACACTCTCTTGGGAGCACAGAAACCGTTGCTGTCAGGGAGGAAGGACAGGAGGGCGCTGAGGGGGTAAGGAAAACTGAGGCCCTCCAAGGGCCCGGGATGCCACTTTCCCAAACCCGAGGAGCAATAGCAAACACTATAGCCCGTTCCTTTTGTCATGTCCGTGAACAGTGGGGGCCTTAAGCCACCATGTGGGCCTCCCCCAGGAGGGAGGCCAAGAACAGGGGACACCTCACAGCGGCATGTTCTACAGCGTCAGGTCATTTTGTGAATATCAGAGGGAACACGGCACCAAGCAGCTGCTGGGCCTCCAGCTGTGGAGCTGTGCACAGAGCAGCCTCTTCCTCCTGTGCTGTGGGGAACTGCAGGGACCCTTCATGTTGATGTTCCCAGGGGAGCCACATCTGCATGGCACCGGCTACAAGAAGTGAAAGCAGACACACTCAGACTTTCCCGTCAAAAGTCTGGTTCCTTGGAATGTGTTTTCAAAGGCCCTGAGTCACTCCAGGGAAGGCAGGGGGACTGCCACTCAGGCACTGGGCCTGTCCCTCCCATGGTCTGTCATGTCATGGGTGCCTCACGGCCCAAGGTGGGTAGGCATCTGGTCACTCTATTCCTGTTCAGGAACCATAAAGTAACTCTTGTCTTCTAAAGACAAATGTGTCCATGGTCAGAAGTGTGCAAACAGCAATGCTGCAGGGACAGGATGAAGGATAGTGGCAGCTTAAAGGTGGCTCCAGCCACGTGCTCTGTGGGAATGACCATAGTAGTCCTGTTTCTAGGCGGCATGAGTGTGGCGGGTCCCACGGGAATGGCAGGCCTGCGGGGCCATGTCCTCTGTGAAGCGCCCACGCGCAGAGGCCAGGGCGCAGAGCTGCTCAGATGCGGCCCCCGCGCAGGGAGCAGGCAGCCTGAAAGGGCCTTTGTGTTCAGTCTTATCAGGGCCTCCCTGGAGTCTCGGGAGGAAGCCATGCCAAGTCCAGAAGTAAAAACATTCCGAATCATTAGGGAATTCCCTGCCGCATGAGTCATTGGAAAGGCTTCCCCACGCCCACTGAGGCTGCCGCCCAGACGCGCCTGCGGCCTGAGCAACCTTCATGCCGACCTGCCAAACGGCTGCACTGCCGTTTCCATGGGGAGCACAGGCCCAGCCTGGCCTGGCCTTCCAAGGAGAATTGGGGGGGGGCAAGGCAGTCCCTTGCCACGTCAGTGTCTGTGTCCACAGTGGCTCCTCAGGACAGAGGAGACCGTCCATCAGGTGCCTGGCCCACGTGAGTCCACGCATATTCTCCAGAGGGGCTGGATGGCCACAGGTCAAGGGCAGAGCTGAAACAATGACGTGCAGACCAGAAGGGGCTGCCCGAGCACTCTCATCTGCCTGGGCCTGCCAGTCTGGCTGCCCGGAGAGACTTCTCACTGGGTCACCGGGCAGGACATGCAGCCTCCGCCATGCCTCAGCCCATCCTTGGTCTGTGAACCTCAGAAGCATGACGTGACATTTTTGTAGACATGGTGACGTCCTGCAGCTGCCTGGACACTGAGGGGCATCGGGGTAGCAGACAGCCCATGGCCTCTAGCTACGGCATGGGGAGGTTTCGAGTTTCACTGTCCAGCAGGGTGCCAGAGAAGTGCTACATAGCTCAGGGTAGGATGCAGGGCGCTTGGAGGGTCCAGGAAACAACTCCCAGATGCAGATCCTGCAGCAGGCAGGTGCCCAGAGGGGCAGCAGGTCACCAAGCATCCTCACTGGTCAAGTCGCCAACGGGCACGTCCCGGCACACTGCAGTCTCTCCCACTTCCACCCAAGGCCACCCACACAGTGTGCCTCTTCCAGCCCTGTCCACCCAGCAGGACACCAGGGTGAAAAGAAACCACCTCAACCACTGTGGAAATTCCAACAGGTCCTCACACGAGTAAACATGGAGACACACATGCTCCAGTGCTCTACTCCCAGTCATACATCCAGGAGAGCCAACACATGTGGATGTGGGGACATGGCACAAGAGTACACAGAAGTTAGCCGGGCTCGGTGGCTCAGCCTGTAATCCCGCGCCTTTGGGAGGCTGAGGTGAGTGGACTGCCTGAGCCTGCGGTTCGAGACCCGCCTGGGCAACTTGGCAAGACCTCATCTCTACA